GCAAAATTGCAATGTTTGTGAGCAAAACGTCCAACTTGATTGCGGATTGTTTTGAACCAACGTTTTCGGCTTGCATTATGTGTTTGTTGTAATTCATTGTCATTTACTACCATTATGTGTAGGCCAATTTATGAAATAATTTCATGCGTTTGAGTAGAAACTGAATGAATGAACACCATTTCATGATTTCAATTAACGCGTTTATGCACTTAGTTTTTACTCAGATCGATGAAATGATTTCGTGAATTGGACTACGCATACATGTGATACATATGTTTTTAATTTATAAGGTAATTTTATGTTTTTATACTCTTGCTACCACATGAATATATGAATTCGTGATAAGAATATGTGAATTCGTAAGGATCTATTGATTACATTATAAACATTTTCATTTATTTGTTAAACATACAATTACTTCCATTAGAACCCGGTCCTATGGATGCTAGAAGCGCAAATTCATATAAGGTGGTATTACCGGAAAATGAATAAATAAATTATATGTATATCAGAAAATTAATAAGATGAAATGAAATTTTCTAACCAATCCTATGTATGTAAGTCAATCGCCTAATGGTTTGCCGAACCGCAAACATATGTTTACACATCCAATTTCGTGAGTAGGTACCAGATCCTCTTTTTTAAGAAGTTTCACCTCTATCATGTGTACGGTGTTACACACGCATTTATTTCAGTATTGGTATTACTTACTTAGAAAATAACCGTATTACTTTTACAAAATTCATTTTATTTAACTCACGCGAATTCGATGCTCACCAAACAAACGTTCGCTGTATACTTACTTATGTGATACAATTTCTGCACATGCTCTTGAAAATTGTTTGCTGAGGATAACGGGAAACAAATATTCCGTTATTTTGATGCGTACATGACGACGCATGCTACACTTTAAATATTTATTGTAAAAAATGCTGCAATTTTCAAATAATTTGAAACTTCCTTTGAGGTGTATATTTACTTAAGTGACTCACTGTAATACACCGAAAATAGGTTATTTTATTTTATTGATAAAGAAAAGGATAAGGGCAAAGGTAAAAATAAAAACAAACAAAAAGATGCGTAAAGATAAATGCAAAAATTAAGATCAAGGTAAATTTAAAAATTTTACTAATATAAGGGCAAAGGTGAAGGGGAATATGTAGATGTAGAAAATGATAAACATAAAGATGATAAAGATAAATATTAAGAAAAAGATAAGGATGAGTAAAGATGAAGATTAAGGAAGAAAATTTAAAATAAAGGTAATTATAAAGAAAACTAGCTGTACCCTGCCACGCTTTGCTGTGGCATATTCATGTTACATGGATTATAAATGATTAGCGAAATAAAGCATACTTTTCAGATAAGTACGATTTTGTAACACTTGTGTGTACACAATATTTTTCGTTTTTCCATTCTCGACGTAGATATCAAGGCTACCTGATTTGCCGACATGCACATAGATTTGTCCATGTGAGAAGCAATGAGCATCTAAATCTGAACCACACTTTTCCAAAGATTGAAATTTAGATTTGTTTATTGTGATTGCAAACGCCTATCGAATTGGGGATTGAAATCTTTTAAATTGAAATGGTGTATCGGTCAGAATCATGTGAATTCGAGAGATGAGAACATCTATCTTCACCTTTGAAAGGCCTCGTTAAAATCTTTGCTTCCACTACGTTCATCAATTTTTTACCTGCGAATGCCGTTGCAGAGCTTTGGCGGATTAATATTCCGCAACATGATAATTGCCACACCTAATTTCAATTTCAGTATGTGGCAGCAAGCATTTATCTTGGCCGCTGGTGTTAATCGAGAAACTACAGACAATGTTTGCGTAAAATCTCCTGCGAGAAATATCAATGCATTCCCGAATGGTTGAACATTTCTACACAAATCTCGCACCGATCGATAAAGAACCTCTAGAGATTTTTTATGTGCTATTGTGCACTCATCACAAACAATGAGTTAACATTTTTGTAATAAGTACCATACCGGATGTTTTGGAAATATTGCACGAGGGAGTTCGATGTATGTTCAATGGCAGCATAAGACCTAAATGAGAAGTGTTTAGGCTTCTGCCTAAATAAATTAGAAAAAGGACACCCCTAATGTTTAAAATTGCGTTAACATTGCCGCTGTTAGCTTTCCCCTCGCTTTCTATTAGTTTCCGTTATTGGAATAGTACTACTTGAAAACATCTTGGCAGGCTACCGCCATCATAATAAAAAACTGTTCACTTACTTCCTTTGCGAGCATCCAAGAGAGAAGACGTGATCCAGCCACCATACTACAGCGTATACAAAGGTAATCTACAAAAG